CTGGATCTTTTGCTCTTCCTTCACTACCAAAAATATGGAGGGGGGAATATATTGTGTACCATCCCATTGGCTGTAACCTCATCTCCTCATCATTCGTTCTAATAATCTCCTTTTGTCACTCAGAATTTTTATCCACAAGGGTCAGATACAAGCAGGGGCAAAGGCATTTCAAAAATATAACCAAAATCTCTAGGCACTCTGAAGAGTGGGAAGAACAATGCATCCTCACCAGCAATGGTCAGAACAGAATCCAGATTTGCAACAATTGGTCTATATAATGCCATTAATTCCCCACCACTCTTGTCCTTATCACAATGCAGGAAGGAGCTGATCCCTTTCTGCCTAGATTGGGGAAAGCTGCCTTCAGTGACAAAATACCCATAATAGAGAAGTGTGTGGATAGGAAGAGACGAGGTCATAGAGTTAGATGCTCAGAGCATTGCTTGTAGCCTTTTATAAAGGACACACCATTGTGAGACTGTAATGGCCCAGCAAGTCATGCAATTTGCAGATTGTTCTTGAGCTTCCTCAGCTCCTCTTTTAGCTTTGGAGAAAGTTGATGTGAGGGACAAATGAGGCAAAGTAGAGAACATGAATAGCAGGTAGACACTATCTTCAGGGTTAACTCATTACTATCCTCTCCCTAAGTCAGAGCTCAAACGAGGAGATACAAGTATAGTCTCTGATATTGTCTCCAGCTACCTAACTGCACTGGAAGAGCATAGATGGAGACCTTCCTTCAGAACTTGACAGCAGCTGTTTGTTTCATTGCCATGAAAGAATCAGGGGAGGGGATGACTGCATTGAGAGTTACTACAGTTTTATAGAAGCCTGGTAGCACTTTGCTAAGGCATTCTGATTGTGTGAGATTTGAGAGGAGGGATGAAGGTAAGCATTCTATTGCTGTGCATCAAAAATGCCACTGACAGAAAGACTTTGAAACTCTGAAGATTTGTGAGATAAAGTTTCCTAAGTACACCTATGTCTTTATAGAAACCATCTCAACTTGGGAGGAAGTTGTATTTGTGCAGTTGTAAAATGAGATACAATGAAGAATCTTCTCTTTCAGGGACAAAAATGCGCACAGATGAGACTGTGGATTTTAAAGCTGAAATACTTCCTGTGACCTGTGGGGAGATGGTGGGCATGTTAATTAAGAGAAAATTGAAACGAGGTAAGATTCAAGGTCTACTTTCACTTATAAGCCCTCCATGAAGGAATCACAAAAAGTAATGGAATTACCCATGTAAATTACCCATTGTTTAAGGAATTGGGGCCCCAGTTTTGTCTTGAGAAGAGGTAGGGATCTCTAAGATGATGTTTTTACACTTTAAGAAATGGTGCATATTAAGTGCTCACTTCCAGGTGGATGTATCCATGAGGATGCCCAAGGAACCAAAGAGAAGTGCAGAAACGTCAGTCTGTGGGTGGAAAATATTGCATACTTTATTTTGAATCAGCTTCCACCTTCATGTCCTATACCCCTTCTGGAAATCATCAACAAGACAGGGTGTTTGTTGTTGTGAGGAGTTCACAAAATTTAAAATCAGAAAACCTGAGTCCCAGCCTCAGCTCTTCCAAGAGTGACTGAGTAAAGAATGGGACTTTTCTGAGCCTGAAACTTCTCATCTAATAAATGGATAATAATTAAAAACCTGCCTCCTCGTGTGACTTTGAGACAATGTACATAATGACTGTAAAATGTTTTCTGATTTGAACATTATAAAGCTTTCCAATAGTTGTCTATTATGATGAACCCCATATCAGATTAATCTTAATGTGGGTATGTGAAAAAATTATATGTTTGCATCAAAACTATTTTTAAACAGCTTTACTGAGATATAACTCACATATATACTAGTAATTCACCATTTTAAGTGTAGAATTCACTGTTGAGCTTTTTGTTTCTGTTTTGTTTATTCACAAGATTATAAAACCATCATTACAATCTAATTTAAGAACAGTTTTGTGCCCCACTAAAGGAAACACCATGTTCTCTCAGGAGTCAATACCCACTCCCACCTCACCCCACCATCCAGCTCTAAGCAACCACTCATCTCTTTTATGATCTATATACTGGCCTATTCTAAATATTTCATATCCATTGACTCATATAACAAGTGCCTTTTGGTGACTGGTTTTCACTCAGCATGATGTTTTCCAGGTTCATATGTATATATCATGCATTATACTTTATTCTTTTTTATTGTCAAACTAGAGGCCCGGTGCACAAATTGTGCACTAGTGGGGTCCCTTGCCCTGCCCCACAATTAGGGCCAAACAGGGACATGTCGCCCAGTCTTGATGGGGGCCGATGGGGGCCAGTGGGCTGGGGAGTGACCGTGGGAAGTTGGCTAGCCAGCCAGGAAGGGACCACAGGAGGGCTCCAGGGAATGTCCAACCCTCTCGCCCAGTCCCAATCAGCCAGACCCCAGCAGCAAGCTAATCTATCAGTCAGAGTGTTTGCTCCCTGGTTGTCAGTGTGCATCATAGGGAACAATCTGTCAGACACTTAGCATATTGCGCTTTTATTATGTAGGATAATATAATAGTTCATGGTGTGGAGACACAGTAACACATTTATCTATCAGTTTAGGTTTTCTCACCCTTTCACTATTATGAGTAATGCTGTTTTGAATAAAGATTTTTGTGAACCTGTTTTTTTAATTCTTTTCACTAAATACTCGGGAGTGGAATTGCAGGGTTATATGGCAATTCTATGTTGAACTTATTGAGAAAAATCAAAACTATTTTCCACAGTATGGCACCAGTTTATATTCCCACCAGTAAAATCTGAGTTCTCTTATTTCTCTGCATCCTCACCAACACTGCTTGTTGTCTATCTTTTTCATTACAGCCATCCTAGAAGGTGTGATGTAGTATCTAAATGAGGTTTTTATTTCCTTTTCTCTAATGAATAATGTTATTAAGTATATGACTATCTATTTTATCTATATATAAGTAAAATTTTCCACTGAATAATATTTCACAATTACTTTAAAGTCAGTTATCCATGATTTCACATAAGAAAAATATCAGCCCAATAATGCCATTGAACTGGAAGGAAATCATCGTAATACAGGGCACAGATGTTGCCTTAGTGTCATTGAGAGCAGCAGGGCAGGGCCTCCATTTCAGATTTCACTCCAAAGTAGAAAATCTCTTTACATGGTATTTATGGGCTGGGTTTGGGGATTCTCAAGTATAAAAGGTGAGGCCACACTCTTCTGCTAGTGATCTTGAACCCAAATTGGGTGGCTGTAGATCCCGTGTCTGAGCTCTGAGGACAAGGATGTTTCAGGATCAACTTATCCTGGTCTTACAGGAGCCACGGTGAAGTGTATAAGGAGAGAGGATGGAAATTGGTACACCCCCAGGGAATTTGAAGTTGCAGGAGGCTATGAAAAATCAAGTAACTGGAAGAACAGCGTGTGCTGCGGTGGGACAACCCTAAAAAACCTGAAAGAGGTATTCCAGTGACTTTCCTTGTTGTATTAGAAGAAAAGGTCACTATTTGCTCACAAAATATATGTTGAGTCATGGCTATAGGCCTGAGGTCCCCTAACATTATCCTGGTCCTGGAGGGAGGAACCCCACACTCATAAGTCAGTACAAGACAGCACATTGATGTTGTCAAAGGGTCTCGGTTGGGGCAGGAGACTAGAGGAGGGAAAGGTCTTTCTGATGGAGGTGCTTGCAGACAACTTTAGCCACTGAAAGAAAGGAGACCATCTACAGTCAAACAAGTGGTCAGAAGGCACTCAAGAGAAAGAATGGTGTAAAAACCAGAACCATGACTAACCTGGCTCCACAGGTTGAGGTAGATGGATTGTGTGTGATGAGGCATAATCCATCAATTGGGGGGGTGGGGTTTGGATGATTTAATGCCAGGCTAAGGATTTTAAACTCATAGCATAGACAATGCAGAACCAGGGAAGTCTCCTGAGGTATGAAATGACATATTTGAAACAGTATCTCAGACAACAAGGGGCCCACTAATCACTTCACTGTCTTTCAGCCCAAGACAACTATAGTGAACCTACAATTCTCAGCTCCAATGTCACCCCTCTCTGAATATTCACTGACTGACCTGCCTTGTCATCCCTTCCCTGGCCCCCCCTGACCACACTATTAAGGCCCTTCTCTCAGTTTTATACTTATCCTTTCATGCAAACCCTTGCTCTCCTAGATCCCTCTAGGGTTTATACATCTTTGTCTGCCCAACACTGTGCAGAGTATCTGACACTCAATAGCTGTGGGACATGTGTGTGTCAGTTGAGCAGCCCTGGTGTGAGGAAATAACTTGAGTGGCATTGGTGGGAATGGAACGGAAGTGAAAGCTGTCAAAAAGGTTGTCAAGGAAATGAAAACTTAAGTAAATAAGAACAAACACAAAAGAAAAGGAAAAAAATCTAAGGAGGATTTTCCAGCTACTATTAATGAATTCTAGAAGCACATTGAGGAGGGGAAGATGGGTTCTCATTTAGACATCTTGGTTTGAGCTGAAAGTGGAACATTCAAGTAGAAATATTTGGGAGGAGGTTGAAATGCCAGATCCACAAAACATAAACACAGGCTAACCATACACTTGGATCTTTAACTCTTTCAGTATCTACCTGAACTTCCAGGAAAAGGTGGCATGAAGAAAAAGGTGATTATTACTTTATACAAGTTCTTTTTCTTAATCTTTATTGTTGAAAGTATTACATCAATCTCCCTTTTTACCCCATTAACCTCTTCCAGCGTGATCCCATCCCCCCAACCCCACCACCCCACGCCCTCACCATCCAATTGTCTGTCGCAAAGGACAATTGTATATGCATCCAAGTCTATTGGTTGATCTCTTCCTACCCACCCTCCTCTGCCTTCCCTCTAAGTTTCAACAGTCTGTTCTGAGATCATGTGATAGTTATCTTTCTCTGACTGGCTTATTTCACTTAGCATAATATTCTCCAGGTCCATCCATGCTGTTGCAAATGGTAAGAGTTTTTTCTTTTTTATTGCCACACTAGAGGCTTGGTGCACAAAAATTTGTGCACTCGGGGGGTAGGGGGGCGTCCCTCAGCCGGGCCTGTGCCCTCTAGCAGTCTGGGACCCCTCAGGGGATGACCACCTGCTGGCTTAGGTCCACTCCCTGGGAGATTATGCCTAAGATGGCAATCAGACATCACTCTGGCAGCCCGGCAGCCCTTGGGGAATGTCCACTTGCCAGCAGGGAGCAGGCCTAAACTGCAGTCGGACATCCTTAGCACTGCTGAGGAGGCAGGAGAGGCTCCCACCACCACCGCTGTACTGGCAGCCATCAGCCTGGCTTGTGGCTGAGCAGAGCTCCTCCCATGTGAGAGCACCCTGACCACCAGAGGGCAGCTCCTGCATTGAGCGTCTGCCCCCTGGTGGTCAGTGTGTGTCATAGTGACCAGTCATTCCCAGTCACTCTGCTGTTAGGGTCAGTTTGCATATTACCCTTTTATTATATAGGATAGAGGCCTGGTGCACGGGTGGGGGCCGGCTGGTTTGCCCTGAAGGGTGTCCTGGATCAGGGTGGGGGTCCTGCTTGGGTGCCTGGCCAGCCTGGATGAGGAGATGAGGGCTGTTTGCAGGCTGCCCTCACCCCCTTCAGGGTGGGGGTCCCCATTGGGGTGCCTGGCCAATCTGGGTGAGGGGCTGAGGGCCGTTTTCAGGCTGGTAGGTAACTGAAGCTCCCAGCCTCTCCTTTTTTTCTTTTTCTTTTTTTATTCTGGGATTTATTTACTTTCTATGGCTGTCATTGGAGCTGAGAGCCGGCTTTAGCTCTGAGGCCGGCTCCAGCTTGAGGCCTTGGCTGCTGGAAGCAGGTATCTGGAGTTTGTTTAGCTTCTATAATTGAAACACTGTTGCCATCACTGCCGCTCTAAGCTCTGAGGCTGAAGCTGGCTGAAAGCAGGTTTCTGGAGCTTGTTTAGCTTCTATAATTGCAACATTGTTTCTTAGACTGCAGCTCAGAGGCCAGCAGTGGCAGGCGGGGAACCTTGGCTTCCTCCATCACTGGAGCAAGCAAGCCTCCTGTTCGCTTCAGCTGCCTGGCTGCTGGACGCCATCTTGGTTGACAGTTTGCATATTGACCTGATTAGCCAATGGGAAGTGTGTCTGAGGTATGGTCAATTTGCATCTTTCTCTTTTATTAGTGTAGATAGTATTCCATTGTGTAAATGTACCACCATTTTTTATTCACTCATCTGTTGATGAGCACTTAGGTTGTTTTACATGATAATTTCATATGTGAATTTTTATTTATTGTTTAATGTATTACATATGTCTCTTTTTTCCCTGATTGACCGTCCCACAACTCCCACCCCTGAGGGCAAGCCCCCACCGCCCCAGCATCTATGTTCATTGGTTATGCTAATATGCATGCATACAAGTCCTTTGGTTGATCTCTTAAACACCTCCCCCCCCACTTTCCTGCCTTCTCTCTGAGGTTGGACAGTCTGTTCAGTGCTACCTTGTCTCTGGATCTACTTTTGTTCATCAGTTTATGCTGATCATTATATCCCACATATGAGTAAGATCACGTGATACTTATCTTTCTCTGACTGGCTTATTTCACTTAGCATAACGCTCTCCAGTTCCATCTATGCTGTTGCAAATGGTAAGAACTCTTTCTTTTTTACCGCAGCGTAGTATTCCATTGTGTAGATGTAGCACAGCTTTTGAATCCACTCATTTTCTGATGGCACTTAGGCTGTCTCCAAATCTTAGCTATTGTGAATTGTGCTGCTATGAACATGGGGATGCATGTATTCTTTCTGAGGAGTGTTTCAGGTTTCTTAGGATATATTCCTAGAAGTGGGATCACTGGGTCAAGTGGGAGTTCCATTTTTAAGTTTTTGAGGAAACTCCATACTATTTTTCCATAATAGCTGCACAGTCTGCTTTCCCACCAGCAGTGTACTAGCATTACCTTTTCTCCACAACCTCTCCAATACTTGTCATTTGTTGATTTATTCATGATAGCTATTCTGACAGGTGTGAGGTGATATCTCATTATCATTTTGATTTGCATTTCTTGGATGATTAGTGACTTTGAGCATTTTTCCATATGTCTCTTGGCTTTCTATATGTCCACTGTGGAGAAGTGTCTATTTAGGTCATTTGATATTTTTAATTGGATTGTTTGTCTTCCTTTTGTTAAGTTGTATGAGTTTTCTATATATTTCAGAGATTAACCCCTTATTGGATGTATCATTTGCAAATGTGTTCTCCCAAGTAGTGGGCTCTCTTGTTATTTTGTTGATGGTTTCTTTTGCAGTACAGAAGCTTTTAGTTTTAATGTAGATCAATGGAATAGAACAGAAATCAACCCAAGCCACTATGCTTAGTAATATTTGACAAAGGAGGCAAGAGCATACAATGGAACAGAAACAGTTTCTTCAATAAATGATGTTGGGAAAATTGCACAGGTTCATGCAAAAAAATGAAACTAGACCACCAAATTACATCATACACAAAAATAAACTCAAAATGGATAAAAGACTTAAATGTAAGATATGAAACCATAAAAGTCTTAGAAGAAATGATAGGCACCAAAATTTCAGACATCTCTCATAGCAATATGTTTTCCCATACATCTCCTAAGACAATGAAAACTAAGGAGAAAATATACAAGTTCTTATTACATAGCTCATTTTATATGATATAGCATCTTTTTTATGGTTTCTCAGTTTTGTAATTAACATTGTTGCCTCTTCTCCTGGTTCCTCCCTTCATTTTATTTAATTAATTATTTTATTTTGTATGTGCCTTCAGATTTGTTCCATTGAACATTAGGTTGAATGCAAGGTCATCTTTGAATGGTAAACCATTTGAGATGAGGAAAATAAAGAGCCATCAAAATAGATCTCATAGCTGAGTTTTAGCTATAGATGCAGATATTGTCAGGGTGTCCAAGTTATAAAAGCAGACATAATTATGGAATACATAAAAATATTTCTTAATAAGGTCACAGGCTCATCTTTAATTCAGACCAGATATTTTTCATAAAGGTTACTATTTTCTAACTTTAGTAAAATCTGATGAAGCAAAATTTGATCACCATCATCCAGATGAACCAGGTTTAGTACTGAGTCTATCTTGGGATATATATGAAACCATACACTATTTCATGAGATAGGCAACTAAAAGCATATTTCTTTTCTGCTTTTGTTTTACAGCATCTTCCATTCCTGCCATAAAATAGACATACAGTATTCTCTCTCAGGCAAAATTATTGGGAAATATTTCCTAAGGATGGTGCTGTTAGGAGGGAGCTTTTGGGAGATTGATGTGTCTTACATGAGGTGCTGACCTGGAAAATTCCTTATTTTTATGCCAACCCTTTGGCTCCACCTCAGGGCTCTGCAGACCTCCTGACTATCTATGAAAGTGATTTCTCCCTCTATGGAAGAAGACTATGGAGGAAACAAACAAAATACATAATGTGAGGTGTAACTTCAGGACAAAGTAATAGTTTTTTCAAGATTGTGTATGAATTAGAACTTAAGAACGGGGGGAGGGGGGGGGTTGAAAAGTGCCATTATCATATACTCCAGGTAGAAATGACCATGCAAGACTTTCATAGAATGTACATTAGGTTACATGTAGCTGTCTAGGCCTTTAGATTATCTGATATTCTAGGACTTTTGGCCCACCAGTCCTTGGCACATTATACCCATTGGGTTTACTGAAGATAAATTATTCTTTTATTTATTCAGTGACTACTTTAAATAGTAGTGTCTCTATCATTCTCTATGTGTATAGAGTTACTCAATCTGGAGTACCTAAAAGAGCTGGCAACTTCCAACCCACAGGTTCTATCCTTATTCATGGGTACAACACTTTGCAGAAACAAGATTCAGTTGCCCCTATATTTTGTGTCTCCTCGATGAAGAATTGAAGTGACCCAAAGTGTCAGATCTCAGGACCCATTACTACCTCAGAGGATCATCTGTGCCCCCCAGAACTTCTCTTGCTAATGGAGTCTTGATTTCTCAAAACTTTAGTGTCACACTTGGCACCACATGACAGCTTCCTGTCTCTTGATGAGGGCCACATATCCTTTCTGGTAATAGCTGCTGTATTGTTAAATTATCTGAAATACTCAGCCAGAATTATTATTGGTTTTATGCTAGTATTTGCTAAAAAGATAGCAAGTAATCCCTTTTCCTAAGTGAAACAATACTCATTTACTATGCAATTATTTAATGCATTAAAAATGCCCAATGTTCATTACAGAAGATTGAAATAATATCCCTGACCTCAAGAATTGTTTCAACTTCATTGTTTATCATGGAGAAATAATTAATGGGGAGCAGGGTCTTCCAGGCTCTCCAGAGAAGCAGGCAATGACATGACCATTTCTCAGGTCATTTTTGAGTGGATCACCCTTGTCTATGACCTCTCTGACCTGGGTGGAGATAAAAGCCAAGGCTGCCTGAAGGTAATGAGTCAAGTTGTTCTAATGAATAAACAAGATCAATGTAAGTGTTATACCCAATAGTCAGTTTCCTGTGAAAAGTCAGCCAGGTGCCATCTTGGGATTTGGATGAAAAGGAAATGGGGATGAACTTTCGAAAGTTGACTTGGTCTAAGGAGGAGCTTGTATTCATTTTAACTTTTGACGGGTGCCCTAGAGAGTTATTGGAGGTGGTGGAGTTCATGTTATACTACCCATGATCAAGACTCCATGGGGAGGAAAAGGCAATTGTTCTAACAAGTAACCTCAGTCTTCTTAATAATCTTTCCTAGGAGAGATATTACAGGTCAATTCAGCATTGGCTTATAATATACTCATGCATTAATAATCACATGTGTGAAACTAAATCTCAACTCAGGTCCCATACTTTGCACACAAAATCACCTGAAGACCTTTGAAAAATAACATTGTCTGATCCCACTCTAGATAAAATTTTGATCAAATCATTCTGAGTTATGACTTGGACATTAGAATTATTAAAATATCTCCAGATGATTTTGATACACAACTTACTCATTCTATGGCTTAAGGAGAATACTAACACCTGTGCCTTTTGATTCAGCATCTATGATGTTGGGACCAGGAATTTAGTATTTTATATACTCGCCTCTGAAAATTCAAATGTACAGCCAAGCTAAGACACAAAGAACCAAAGGGAAAAGGCCCTAGACTTGATTACTGATAGAGATGCAAGATTCTTGTGTACTTATTACATTTGTTATTTCCTTGATTTTCTGGGAAGATGGTTACCAATCTCTGGACAATCATGATAGCAGTCTGTGAGTGCCTACAATGAGTAGAAGGAAAATGGCCCTGGGCCTCCATGTTAGACCCAGTGTCAATCTCCATTATGGATGTGGTTCAGGATTCCCTGGAACACTGAATGGGAGCTGTTGGCAAGATGTTCCTTGAGCTTTGCACTTTCTCATATATGGACATTTTTTAAATCAAAATAAATGACCAGAATCCTGATTCTCCCCAGATAAGAATTTTCACCCTAAATCAGAGTGACTTTTCATCTTTTATTACTTTCTGCATGAAGAGAAACAATATAGCTATGTTGCACATTACTGTGCCCATTTACTTCAAGATGGACATTTGTAATCTTTGTGTGCTGCTAACAGAGATATAATACAGACTTTGAGAAACAGAACACTTTTCTCTATGCATTAAGGTGAAACCATTCATTAGGGTCTCAGCATCCCTGTACACAGTGGACCCTACAGAGATGGAACTAACAAAACAAGCTTAACTGTTACTGTGAAAAGGAGTGGGCATAGTAGCATTTGGAATACAAGTAAGAATATAGACCCAGGATGAATTCTCAGGTTTGTGGTCAAAGGCAAATATTTTATGAAATGGAAGCACCAGGAAAGAAGAGGTAGTGGGTGTTGGGACAGGATAATACATTGTTTTGCCTGGATGTGTTTGGGGTGTGCTTTAAGGGGCCAGGGGGAGATGCTGGGTGAGCATATGGATATGCACAAATGCAGAAGACAGGCTGGACATTTGGGAGCTGGAAACATGGCAATGTAACTGCAGCTTTGAGAGTCATTTGGTTATCTAGGGCAATCAAATGGCCAAATATCTAAACCTAAGGGATTCTAAGTGTTAGAAGAGGAGAGGACAAAAAGGGAAACA